CACACTCACACACCATTCACTCCTTTGTGTAATTTGGTGACTCAAATCAACCTCAGCATTCTTTCGAACTGTGGGGGAGAGGAACCAGGGTACCCAGAGGAAACCCCCAGATGACATGGGGAGAACAAGCAAACAACACATATGGAACCCTAGTGAAGACCTGAAGCCGAGTCCCAGAGTTATGAGGCAATAGTGCTAACCACTGTACCATCATGCTGCCCTAAAGCAAAAATAGCAAAATAAATAAAATTATCAGGGTGTATCCAAGGCATACCCCTGCTTTATGCCCTGTGCTGCCTGTGACAGGCTCCACCCCCTCTTTCCTCCACCCCCCACAACCCTGACCAGAGTCACTGGTTGGAAGATGGATGGATGGATTAATTAAGGCTTCTTATCATGGACTTGTAATATTTTAAATATATCTTTGGGGAAAAGACAAAGAAAAGGATAGCAAGCTTTATTTCTACTACAAAGCATATATTTTTTATCTTAACTCTCTCAGCCTAACAGCTTTTCATGTGACTGACAACTTGGAATCGATGTTCAGTGTGTATGTGTGTGTCGGTGTATGTGTCTGTGAATCTCAAAATATGCATTGAATAAATGGCACCCGTGCTGTTATATTGCAGGGGCAGGACAAAATGATGAAAATGTTATGGCTTTATAGGTGGGGAGTTGATGGGCAGGTCCACAGGTAGAGGAGATACCAAAATTTGTATGTTTGTCTAACATGTCTGATTCAGCAGTAATTCTTAATCTCTGCACATTCCAGCGATTCATATCACCCCACAGAGACAAACAAAGATTTTTTTTTACTTCTATTTGATGTAACTAATGGTGACTTTCATTAAATTGAATTCCTCTTGACAGAATACTTGGTGCTGTTCACAGCTGTTCACAGCCACGTGTGAATGGAAAGCCCAGCAAAACTACGGGACTGAATATGAAGCACCAATAGCCAATGAATATAAATGTTTTATCAATTGTAAAAAGATTTGCGGGTCAAAATTGTTTCCGTGAAAGCTAGATGAGAGACAGCATGCTTCAGTAGCTCAGTTTATGTTTCTGGATGTTCATCTCCTGAATTCTGTACATATGCTCCAATGGCAAAAACTGGAAACTAAATTTGCAACTTTGCTGATGGAGGCAAGTGGAAAGGTGTCGGGCAGCCCTGGGGGACATGTGTAAACTATTTAGGATTTCCCATACTACTGATTTTTTGGCAATATGCCCTTCGCTTGACCATCACAGGGATTCTATGTAAGGCCAGGAGAATTGCCTGGAAAGGTTTGCCACTAAGCCACTAAGCACATCAGTGAATACATTTTTAAATAGCCCAGGAAGGCAGCATATTACTGTTTGCTGTACAAATAGTGCACTCATCTTGCCTGCCTTGCCTGTAAACCCATGTCCTGGATTACCTAGACCAGCTCGTATAGCTATTGGCTGAATGTATATTTAAACATGAAAAGCCCCTGTATGAATGTGTTTACATAAATCAGAAAATAACTGCTGAGCACAACTGGAAAGACACACAGTGCACTATTTATCATACATTTAGGTAAGAGGAAAGTTTCTTCATAAACACCAAAGTCCATTCATCTTATCAAAGGACTATGCATGGCTTTAATGTGATTTAAAGTCGTCTTTCAGTAACATCAACAAAAGACCACAGAACTGTCTATAAAGATAGAAAACACCATAATGCAAATTGATATAGCCTCTCTCTCTGTCAGTGCTTACAATTTATTTATTTATTTAAATTGGCTATAAAGCAACATCAGAGTATAACAATGCAAGGCAAGGAATTAACCTTTTGTAATGTGACATGAACGACTGGTATGTCTGCAGAAAAGTGTTTGAATTACCACCAAATATTTCACATATTTCTAAGAGAATTTCATATATTCATATATAGTAAATACCACACAGAAGCACATATACTTATCACTAAAAAAGCAAAACATTGCTCTATGGTCAGTGGGCACTCACAAACAAACAGGAAAGTACCCATCCATCTTCTTGCCATTTATCCTAGCCTGGGTCAAGGGGAGAACATGCAAACTCCACTGCCACAGAGCAGAGGTCCAGTTCAAACCCCCAGCACTGGAATTATGAGGCAATAGTGCTCCCATTGACCTGCCATGATGCCCATTTCTGGTAATCTGGTAAGTATCTTCGAAAATTTGATACAGTTTTGTTAAATTAAAATTTAAAACATCACTATTGTTGTTGCTTTTCTATTGCTGTTACTGTTCTATGGATTCTTTTTTTCCATAGAGAAACCCACTGCTTGGTTTAGACCAGTGTTTCTCAACCCGGTCCACAGGAACCCCCAGCTGGTCCATGTTTTTGCTTCCTCGCAGCTCCCTGCCAGACAGTCCACATTCTTGCTCCTCCCAGGACAGTCTGGGGGTCACAGAGAACTGAGTTGAGAAACACTGGCTTAGAGAAATGAAGAAATCAAAATGTTCTCATGCAGAGTTTTAAAGTAGCATGTGATTAGGCACAATGCTGTTAAAGCTAAATGTGCTGCAGCACTTTATTTGGTTGAATTCTCATCTTTAAAAAGTGACAGGGCATCAGATAGATACATTTTTAAATTGTATAAATAAACAAAATTCGGGCCATGCCCAAACTATGATAATAAAATAATGATAAATAACAACCAAGCACATTTAAAAAGCTGCTTCTCTTTGTTCCAGTCCTATTTCAGATTAAATTCTTCCAATCTGGTCCATGTATTAGAATTGGCTCAAAGGCCAAGAAAGACTTAGGGTTTTGAATGCAGATTATAAGGAAAAAGCTTCATGTAACCTAAATACATGCTCTCCAAAAAGCATGAGCTTATGTAATCCACATAAAACATAAGCTATGGATGTAACAGTAGTAGCACAAGAGGAAATAAAAAGCAAGATTGAAGACTGAAGGGGATAGGAGGCACAGACAGATGGTCATGTAGTCTTGTAGAATGAGAAGCTTGTCTTCAGCTTCTAAGGGTCACTTGCCATCTGAAATATATTTGGTTCATACAACAGGAAGACTCAAAAAGCCACTTCTAAATTCTTTAGAAGCCACTTCTCTATTAATGTTAAACAAGTTATGAACTTTTGAGTGAAGAATAAGGCTAGGTTGAGCTTCATGTATCCAAAGTAAGGAATTCTCTAACTGTAAAATGGACAAATCAACTGTTCACAGGAGGCTTGACTTGCTGCTACCCCTGGATGCGGTAATCCCTTATAGAGGTTATCTATACTCCATTTTGCCAGAGTTGAGTTGGCACCCCGGGAACAGCCCGCTCTGCTGATCTCCATTACCAAACTGTCAGTGTCTCAGGTGGGGCTAATGTGAGAACCTGGCAGATGATCATACCTGGATGGGGGAGGAAGAGGGGTGCAGATGGTAAGACTTGCCTTGACAGTTTGACAGTAAACAGAGGACTTACCCTCAGACTGACACATGTCTCCGTTATTATTTAAACAAGGAGTAGTCTCAAATGTGTGTGTCTCACTGCAAATTGCAAAGCCTGTAACAGTAATTTGCTGTATTTTTTGTTCCTTTCATCTGTGTTAAAACGGATATTTTTGGTCCCACATTGCACTGTAAAACATTTCAAGTCTGTTAAACTTAGAAATGAAAGTTCACCTGCTGCCTTAAAAACATGAGTAAAC